TCAGATAAAACAGTAAAATAATTGCTCCACTACATATGAAATCCCTGCAATAAAATACAGTGAATTATGTTTTCTAATCTCTCAAGAAGTTTTGTACATAAAACATAGATTTTTACAGATTTTTCTAGGTCGTATTGTGGTAGAAATATAAAGATGCATGAAATGAAAAGTACTTAAGTGAGAAGTGACTTTATCTTAAATCCAACTTAACTTATCAGATTCAGTAATAAAAGATGCACTGCAGTTGTCTTTCTCAGTTATGGCAAATGTTACATTTTATTTATTTTATTTATTTATTTATTTTTTAATTACACTGCTAAATCCAGATAAAATAAAATTAAGAAATTAAACCAAAGCTTGTTATAGAGCATCATGGGAATCCTTGGATTTGTAGAGTCTCAACTTCAGATCAGAATTAATCCGTTTATTCTGATTAATCATTAATGCCTTAGTGGGGTCTCAGGTTAAATATTTAAAATGGTTAAATTCTAACGCCAAAGCTAATGTAAGTGCACTTAAAGCTGTTATCACTGAGTTTATCTGCTGTCATTCATAACTAGATTGCTTCCTATCATTTATTTTTATTCCAATACACACTAGTTTTTCTGTGTATGTAATGATTTGTCTTCTCTTTTCTGCCTCATGCTAAATATCCCATAGTTTCACGTATTGTCTTCTATCTTGACTAAAGCTGATTTAATGCACCTTTTTTTGTCAGGAAAAATAGTATTTTATGTAATTTTACAAGGTTTTAAACCTTAATATGTAAACTAACTTGGTAAAATGACATCATTAACAACACTGTAGAATCTGAACTCTAATATTTAAGCTTGTTAGTTTAATTTAAAGCACCAATTGTAATCTCTTTTTTCTTTTTTTTTACTATAAAGCAGCACCAGTTGTTTTAAATGTGCTGCATAAATACCAGTGACGAGATTTGACTTGAGTTAAATTTCGCACCTTTTTGATTTTGCCAACTCTTTTCCTGCTTTTAAAAGAATTCATTTAATATTTAAATGCATTTTAAAAAGATGGTACCTGAGGCCAGTGAACAGCAGACGAGCAGCATCCATGGCTGTGGGTTCATGCTGCCTGATGCTCCAGATGCAGCCATGTGGAAGTTCACCAGCAGCCTATCACGAGCCTTATATATGTGTCTCCAAACACACACACACCGCGTGAACCACCACCCCATCCACACACACTTGAACTTCTTTCAACACCAGGAAACTAAAAGTGGGGAAGAAAATCAGATTAAACATTCATCTAAATGGTAATTAGGCAGAAACAGGGGATTGAACAGCGAGAGCAGGAGAACCAGTTTGATTCAAAGCAAATCCTGCTTATTGTGTTGCATTTACATTTAAAGAAATCTATTTCACAACAGGCCCGCTGACATATAGTCCCGTGGGAACACTGTCCAAATGTACGTTGATCAGAAAACTCCAATGGACAAGAAAGACGTCCGCCCGGGGAGAAACTCGAGCCTTTAAACCTCATGTTTCCTTGTACACACCTGGTAGCATTCTTGTGTTTCTTTTCTTAAAATACTGAGCAAAAAAGAAGGTAAACAGCAAAAGAAAGGCAACATGTCAGTGTCACCAGAGGTAAATGATTAAATCTTGCATTGTGCACAAAGAAGGATGCTTACTTTTGGCAAACACAACTGAACCCAGCATTGTCGTGAAGGTTAACAGAAGACAAACAGGAAGAAAAAAAAAGAATACCAAAGACCAAGGTGTATGAACCAGGATGTAGTTAATGATTTTTCCGAGCTGAGGGAAAGCACCTCGCTGCATTTAAAGATGCATTCTGCAAATTCAGTAGTTGTGTCGGTTAAAGGATTAAATGCAGCACATGCAGTGTCTTTCACCTGTGGTTTGAGATAATAAGTTCCAATTAAACGTCTTTGTAATGAGGAGCGCGTTCACTGCATGCAGCCAGACTGAATTCAAATGTGCTCCAAGGAGTTGCGAATCATTTGCACAATGCTGCACTGATGGCAGAAAAAAACAACAAAACATTGTGCTCAGCTGGCATTTCAGTGGCAGGAGGTGTAACTACTTGTACTCGGTGCTTCTGCCAAAGAAGAGCTCTGTGAGTGCAGCACGGACCAAAATCCTTGACAATGTTTTTCATCCTGCCTGTTTATCACTGATGCAACAAAAAGACTCGTTTTCAGACATTTCAGGGCTGCTGAAGGCCTCCTTAGTGTTTAGAAGAAACATGAAGCTATTTTTAGTCAAACATTTACAGAATATGTGCAGATAAAGTCACATAAATGTGTAATAAATGCTTAGCAAACATGAAGTAACTGCAAGTTTAACACTTTTTAGGGGAAAAACTGTTGCGTAACATTGTCAAATACTCGCATTTGTTCATGACGAGCAACAGGAATTCACGACAGGTCTTTTATTAATGAATGCAATAAGTCATAATGAGTCATACATTAGTTACTGAGGTATATGATTTACAAAGTGTCACCTGTTATAGATTGGGCTGATAGAGCTGTGTAGGAGTGGGGAACCCGTTGCCGGAAGCGGTTCTCCTTCATGGATGAGGCAATAGAATGGAGGCCTTCCATCTCTGGGGCGGTATCCCCTGGTACAGTGCCAACCAAGGGGGGAAATATCCAAAAAAATACAACTGTTTCTCCAAGAAAAGAGCCCCGATTGGTTAAAAACTGTTTTCTACCAAACAAATTCTCACAGATCAACATTTGCTTGACTTATAAATGAGTTCAACAGTGTTAATGGAGACGCTACAGCTCTATTGTTGATCACTATTTACACTATTAGTGAAACCAGGCACATGTAACATGAGGTCTGATTTCTGGTTTGATTTTACCAGACCGCTGAAGCTGACCGCCTTCGTCTTCTGGCTCAGTTGTGTTTCCATCTACGAGGCAGAAGTTGTGCAAACTGGTGCAACATGCAACGACCTTGACAGTGAAAACAGGGTGCACTGTCAGAGCCAAGAAAAACATCGATCGCCACCTGGTTTTTATGATGCCGAATGGCCTTTTAATAACGGACCTTTGTGTGATGTCCGCTGAACCTGGCTGCTGCTGCTGGATTTATGAGCGGCTCTCTGCAGCGTGTGATGAATGAGATGGGTTGGGACGTACAAAGATATCCACCGTCTCTGAGTGTGCAGTAGCCACTAGTTCGGTACAACATACCAACATATAAAGGGCTATTTTTAAAGATGCATCATGGACTGAACCACCGGACGCTGGTGGTCACACACTGCTTGCAATTGAATTGAACAAAATCACGTGCTGTTCAAGTAAAACTGTACTTGGCGTTGATTCTCACATCTCACCCGTCCAAATGCTGCAGATCCAGGAAGACGTTCAAATCCAGCACCAAGTCTTTACAGCTCATCTGGTGGTGGAAGGTTTTGTTGTATGTGAGAAGAGCAGGGAGACTAAACTTTCATCTAAATGTGCTATAAAATGAAAACAATGAGCTAAAAGAGGTTAAAAAGTTAAGCAGATGTTGATAATAATTTGAATTTATGCTAAAGACTCCTTTTGTTTTAAACATACTTTGCTTTAATTCCATTTTTTGTGCGTTAACTTTCTGTTAATATAAGTGTAGTTGTCATTATTTTTGGTGACTCGACACACATTTTATGGCCTAATAGCACAAGCTAACATATAGCTAAACAGATGCTAATGTTAGCAGGTCATTGCTAGCATCCATTTGGAGCCACAGCAAAAGTAAATCTGATATTTACCCAACTTGTAGCCAACATTAGCTCGTTCTTTAGCTGCTAGCTGGTTGTACTTATTGCAAAAAAAGAGAGGGTTAACACGAGCAGGCAGACTAAACGTTAATGTAAAGCTGTAAAACGAAAAAAATTACAAAAAAGACACTGAATGGTTAAGCAGAACTGCAGAGTTTAAGCTAAAGCGGCATTCAATTTAAACATGCTTTGCTAAAATTATATTTTCATGTCTTCACTGTCCATTTTTATAATTATATATTAGTGGTGTTATTGTTGATTGCTGTGAGGCAGATTAGCTTCAGCTAATGAAGAAACTAAGCATTTTATGGCTTCCAAACAGTAGCTAGCATGTAGCTAAACAGTGGCTAATTGCTAGCATCCGTTTGGAGCCACATTTCAGTCAATTTTCAGTCAAAATTTTTAGCTAGCTGATGTTTTATGTTCTTCACTTGCATTACATTACATTTCTTTTCTGTTTTTTTTTTTTAATATTTCATGCTAATTTTGAGATAACGCGTCTACTTTTTTTTGTGATATTGGAGTTGAAGCCTGTCAGCAGAAAAACTTTTTATCCAATTTTTGGTTAAAAAAAAAAAAAAAAAAAGTAATATAATTGCATATTGTGTCCTTTATATCGGCCTATTAGGTGTTTTCAGTAGTCTTAAATGCATTTTCATGGGTGTTTGACTGTAAAACAAGTGTCAGCTACAACATTAAAACCACTGACAGGTGAAGTAAATCACTGATCATCTTGTAGCAATGTTCAGCTGGAAAACTTTACATTTAGGTGGATGTTACTGAGCAGATTCTTAGAGGATTAATCAGTGTTGGTGACTTATTTCATGTCACAGAAGTTCTTATGAGCCAAAACATGCACAGGTGCACTTAATAACATTAATTGTGAGGCTTGTTCCATTCTCAACCAATCCAGACCAAACAAACCTTTTTCCCAGCAGACATTTTGACTTCTCATTCAGGAGGTGGAACAACATGCAGAACAAGTCCTGTTAAACCTGCAGCTCCAAACCCACCCTGGACTTGTGCTTTTAACGACAGCATCCCCTGTGATGAAGATCTGCCCAGGATCCTGCACCTTGCTCACCTCAATGTAAGTTCTTGGCTCAGAAAGTCGTCGACTTGCACCTGCACTGTTTGTACAACTGCAAAAAAACACCTGCTGTGAAAAAGGTCTGCAGTTGTCAATACTGAGCCCACTTGGCACAGCAGGTTGGAAATAAAACTACTGCTCTCTTTCCCCTTGATGTTTACTCGACCACTTTCTTCTTTTCTGAAGCCGAGGCGGAGGACGGGGACGCCTTAAGCCTGCGCTTTGTTCCTGTAATGCTGTACTTACACCCCCCCTGTTTTCATACGTGCAGCACTGGAGACAGTCATGGCGGCGATTTGTTTTGATTTCACGCGTGAAACTTGATTACGGAGACTTGATTAAAGGAGAAAATTGCTCCATTCTAGCGTCATAAACGTCCAAAGAATGAAGAGTGTAACTCTGCACTAACTGCCGCCCCCTGCGGCTCGGCGATGTGACAACTCATCAGGATGTGACATCTATACGCTTTGCTGCTGGCAGCAAACAACACACTGGCTGGATCAAACTGAAACACAGGGTGGGTGTCAAAACAGGAAAAGCAGAGTTGTAAATAATAAAAAGGAGTGCTTCTGTTCAGTCTGTACAGAACTCAGTCGCTATTCATTTTGTGTTTTTGCAGAATTGGACATTTGCAACATCAAAATATGACTTTTTGTGCCTCCAAATGTTAAACAGGCTGCTGGCTTACAGTAGGTTTTGTGTGCACATCTACAATATGACTCAACCTGAGGATGGTAACACATTAAAAGCAGCAGGAAATCAGAGTTTGTTCCACAACATTAACTCGTGAGGCTACCTTGTGATATTCTGTCTATTTGTTTAACAAGGACGGACGCAAAAATATGTCTTTTGTTTCCGAGATTCTGGAGAACAG